ACTCCAATCAAGTTGTAGAAACATCTCAAGGATGGTCAATGGAAACAGGATGCACCTGAGCTCAATTTCTCTTAGCAAAGGGTCTGAATACTTATGTAAATAAGGTTTTTCATTTTTTCATTTTTAATACATTTAAAAACCTGTTTTCGCTTTGTCATTATCGGGTATTGTTTGTAGATTGATGAGGGGAAAAAAATAATTTAATCTATTTTAAGGCTGTAACGTAACAAAATGTGGAAAAAGTAAAGAGGTCTGAATACTTTTCGAATGCACTGTAAATACTGTATTCTAGTCCATCCTATTCAACTATTGCTGTACATACACTATTCTATCCATGTATTCTTCAGATATATTATATATTCTATCCACATACTGTCCATAATGTCTATAAATCCCATCACACATACAGTGTGTATATATACATACATACTGTTCAAAAGTTTGGGGTCACTTAGAAATTTCCTTGTTTTCTAAAGAAAAGCAATTTTTTTGTCCATTAAAATAACATCAAATTGATCAGAAATACAGTGTAGACATTGTTAATGTTGTAAATGGCTATTGTAGCTGGAAACGGCAGATTTTTTATGGAATATTTACATAGGTGTACAGAGGCCCATTATCAACAACCATCAGTCCTGTGTTCCAATGGCACGTTGTGTTTGCTAATCCAAGTTTATCATTTTAAAAGGCTAATTGATCATTAGAAAACCCTTTTGCAATTATGTTAGCACAGCTGAAAACTGTTGTGCTGATTAAAGAAGCAATAAAACTGGCGCATCAGCAATTGTGGGTTCGATTAAAGGCTCAAAATGGCTAGAAACAAATAACTTTCTTCTGAAACTCGTCAGTCTATTGTTCTGAGAAATGAAGGCTATTCCATTTGAGAAATTGCCAAGAAACTGAAGATCTCGTACAATGCTGTGTACTACTCCCTTCACAGAACAGCGCAAACTGGCTCTAACCAGAATAGAAAGAGGAGTGGGAGGCCTCGGTGCACAACTGAGAAAGAGGACAAATACATTAGTGTGTCTAGTTTGAGAAACAGACACCTCACATGTCCTCAACTGGCAGCTTCATTAAATAGTACCCGCAAAACACCAGTCTCAACGTCAACAGTGAAGAGGTGACTCCAGGATGCTGACCTTCTAGGCAGAGTTGCAAAGAAAAAGCCATATCTCAGACTGCCCATCTTAATCTTTTATTTTTATTGGCCAGTCTGAGATGGCTTATTTTTACCAAATAGGGCTATCTTCTGTATCTTCTGTATTCTGTATACCCCCCCCACACCTTGTCACAACACAACTGATTGGCTCAAACGCATTAAGAAGGAAATAAATTACACAAATTAACTTTTAACATGGCACACCTGTTAATTGAAATGCATTCCAGGTGTCTACCTTATGAAGCTGGCTGAGAGAGTGCCAAGTGTGTGCAAAGCTGTCAAGGCAAAGGGTGGCTACTTTGAAGAATCTCAAATATATTTGGATTTGTTTAACACTTTTTTGGTTACTACATGATTCCATATGTGTTATTTCATAGTTTTGATGTCTTCACTATTATTCTACAATGTAAAAAACACAGAAAAACCCTTGAATGAGTAGGTGTGTCCAAACTTTTGACTGGTTGTGTTTGTATGTGTATATATACAGCTCTAGAAAAATTAAGAGACCACTGCAAAATTATCAGTTTCTCTGGTTTTACTATTTATAGGTATGTGTTTGGGTAAAATTAACATATTTCTTTATTCTATAAACTACTGACATTTCTCCCAAATTCCAAATAAAAATATTGTCATTTAGAGCATTTATTTGCAGAAAATGACAACTGGTCAAAATAAAAAAGATGCAGTGTTGTCAGACCACTTCGAATAATGCAAAGAAAATAAGTTCATGTTCATTTTTAAACAACACAATAGTAATGTTTTAACTTAGGAAGAGTTCAGAAATCAATATTTGGTGGAATAACCCTGATTTTCAATCACAGCTTTCATGCGTCTTGGCATGCTCTCCACCAGTCTTTCACATTGATGTTGCCGCAAAAATTCAAGCAGTTCGGCTTTGTTTGATGGTATGTGACTATCCATCTTCCTCTTGATCACATTCCAGAAGTTTTCAATGGGGTTCAGGTCTGGAGATTGGGCTGGCCATGACAGGGTCTTGATCTGGTGGTCCTCCATCCACACCTTGATTGACCAGGCTGTGTGGCATGGCGCATTGTCCTGCTGGAAAAACCAATCCTCAGAGTTGGGGAACGATGTCAGAGGAAAAGGAAGCACGTTTTCTTCCAGGACAACCTTGTACGTGGCTTGATTCATGCGTCCTTCACAAAGACAAAATCTGACCGATTCCAGCCTTGCTGAAGCACCCCCAGATCATCACTGATCCTCCACCAAATTTCACAGTGGGTGCGAGACACTGTGGCTTGTAGGCCTCTCCAGGTCTCCGTCTAACCATTAGACGACCAGGTGTTGGGCAAAGCTGAAAATTGGAATCATCAGAGAAGATTACCTTACTCCAGTTCTCTACGGTCCAATCCTTATGGTTTTTTGCAAACCTCAGCCTGGCTCTTCTTTGCTTCTCATTGATGAAAGGCATTTTTCTAGCTTTGCACGACTTCAGCCCTGCCCCTAGGAGCCTGTTTCTTAACCGTCCTCGTCGTGCACTTCACCCCAGCTGCCGTTTGCCATTCTTTTTGTAGGTCACTTGATGTCATCCTACGGTTGTTGAGTGACATTCGAATGAGTTGGCGGTCATCCCGGTCAGTAGAGAGTTGTTTTCGCCCTGTGCCGGTCTGTAGCTTTGTTGTCCCCAATGTCTGCTGCTTGACCTTGTTCTTATGAACCGCCATCTTTGACATTTTAAGGACGGAAGCAACCTGACGCTCACTGTATCCCTCTGCCAGTAAAGCCAGAATTGAACCCTTCTTTTCATCAATCAAAACTTTCCTTTTCAACTCTTTTGGCATGGTCCATAGTTATTTGTTGATTAATATTACTTTTGAGGTACTATTAGCACTGTTTTTGCCATCCAGCTGGTCCTATTGCAAGAGGATAGTGATGACCACAGCAGTGGTTTTTAATACTTTTCCTCGTTAAATAAGATTTGGTTCATGTGATCACCTAATCAGTACCTAATTCAGTAGAATGAGGTGTGCCTGTGTTGGAATTCAACAGACACTGGAATGGAATGGCTGTCATACATGTAGAGATGCTGATTTAAGAAAAATTTGCAGTGGTCTCTTAATTTTTTCCAGAGCTAGCTATATACACATACTCCAACATTGTTCGTCCTAATTTTTCTATATTTCTTAATTCCATTCTTTTACTTTTTAGATGTGATATTACTGCACTGTTGGAGCTAGGAACACAAGCATTTCGTCACATCTGCAATAACATCTGCTAAAAGTTTGTGACCAATAAAACCTGATTTGAACTTTGTGGCAACAGTTTGGGGAAGTCCCTTTCCTGTTTCAGCATGACAATGCCCCCGCCGTTTACAAAGCGAGGTCCAAACAGAAATGGTTTGTCCAGATCAGTGTGGAAGAACTTGACTGGCCTGCACAGAGCCCTGACCTCAACCCCATCGAACACCTTTGGGATGAATTAGAACGCTGACTGCGAGCCAGTCCTAATCGCCCAACATCAGTGCCCGACCTCAGTAATGTTTGTGGCTGAATGGAAGCAGCAATGTTCCAACATCTAGTGGAAAGCCTTCCCAGAAGAGTGGAGGCTGTTATAGCAGCAAAGGGGGGACCAACGCCATATTAATGCCCATCATTTTTGAATGTTAGACGAGCAGGTGTCCACATACTTTTGGCCATGTAGTGTATGTGAAAACTCCCTAAGATAGCGAGCCATGATCCCAATTACTTGACTGCCCCTGAATGGAGAGAAAGAGAACTGCTCATTTTTAGCCAATCACAAGCCTCATTTGAATTTCCTGATGCATTAGACAAATTCTCTGCAACGAGTGATTAAGTTAAGATCCGACATCTGTACACTAGTTAAATAAGTTGTAGGCCAATAGAACAAAATGGAGAGAGCCCATGGTAGCCCTACAGTAAAACGTATAATCCTCTGCTATTAACAAACTCTGGAAGTAAACGACAGTTAAAGAGGAAGTTGCTGTGTGCTTTCTCCCCCACAAAAAAAAACATGTTTCCAAAAGGCTTGTACATTATGGACTAGAGCCAACCCAAAGTAGAAGAGATCTCTGTCATCCATTTACCAGCATGAACAATTGAAATGGCAGACATCAGAATTTGTGTATAGAAGATGTACAAAGTTATTTAGCCACTTTGGAAAAATATAAGTTTATGAAAGGGATGGAAAAAGCATAGATCTTGTAATTTTTTCAGTTACAAAGAAGAGAGTGGTCATGAATATGAATGTTTGTCATAGATTTTATTCTGGGGACAACATAAAACAGTAACATAGCTGCCTTTTCTGACAACCAAAGAAATCTCAACACTTTTCACTTTGGAAAACAGTGTAACAACGACGGAACATGATTCACGTTCTAACTTTACAAAAAAAAAAAAAAAATGTATTTCACAGTTGAAAGCACTACAATACTCCACTGTATCCCAAACAGAACTCGTGAATGTTTAACTATAACACTTCAGTTCAATGTGGTAAGTAAAGAGGCACGTTATAACAGTTCCACACATTGCTTCTGAGATGTGACTATCTTTAAATGAAAGAATACATGTCTTTGCAGCACTTTTTCATTTGCAATTAAAGCATTTTGTAAAAGTAGCTATAGTGATTAACTTGTTTGAAAGGTCAACAGAACAAACATATTTTAGTACAACGAAGTAAAAACAAAAAAAGATGAGTCTTGAAAAATACAATTATAAAATTATATGTATATAAAAAGCTCCTCTAAATATAAAAGTGCTGAATAGGTCATGGAAGAGGCAATTCCAAGTTCCTGACAAGGTATTCTTGGTCCTCACTCAACAAAATAAAAACAATCCCCCACACATGCACTCAGATATTAGCTCACAGCAGGGTGGAGATGTGGGCAGGGGGACACATTCTTCTGGTGGGCCTCATGGAGGACTTTAGTATCGCTGTCCCCGTCGACCTCCAGAGCCAACCCCTCGTTGTATAGGCACCTAAAACCATCGTAGAATTTGTCTGTATCCCCCTCCCCCCGGCTCCCCTTTCCCCTCCTGGTCTGCCCGAGTCCCGGTCTGCCTGCAGGCCCCCAGGACACCTCATCCTGGAGCTTGGTCATGTTGGTGCTGTCAAATATGTATACTGCATTGGCTGGCAGGGAGAACTCCAGGCTGGTGAGGTATTCGTCCACCATCTCCTTGCAGTGGATGAACTCAGTGCTCTGAATCTGGAGCAGAAAAACACTCAGTGATTTCCTCATACATGTCAAACAGGTTTAGCAAAATTAAAAACAACTTATGACAGATGTTGTCGATCGTGTGTGGGTTCCATGTTAACTGAAGTGTTTTTTTATTTATTTATGGAGATATCGAAATTTTTATTGACGCCAATATTTTTCTAACCAGGAACATAAAGACCAAGGTCCTTTTTTATACAAAAAAGAAAGTGAAAAGAAAGGTGTTATTGTGAACTGAAAATAAATAAATATATATACACACACATTATATATATACACACATATATTTTTACATTTACGTCATTTAGCAGACGCTCTTATCCAGAGCTACTTACAGGAGCAATTAGGGTTAAGTGCCTTGCTCAAGGGCACATCGACAGATTTTTCACCTAGTTGGCTCGGGGATTAGAACCAGTGACCTTTCGGTTACTGGCACAATGCTCTTAACCACTAAGCTACCTGCCGCCCGGCAGTGTATCAAATACTTGTTCTCCCCACCGTGTGTGTGTGTGTGTGTGTGTGTGTGTGTGTGTGTGTGTGTGTGTGTGTGTGTGTGTGTGTGTGTGTGTATATATATATATATATATATACACACACACACAGTGGGGAGAACAAGTATTTGATACACTGCTGATTTTGCAGGTTTTCCTACTTACCAAGCATATAGAGGTCTGTAATTTTTATCATAGGTACACTTCAACTGTGAGAGACGGAATCTAAAAAAATCCAGAAAATCACATTGTATGATTTTTAAGTAATTAATTTGCATTTTATTGCATGACATAAGTATTTGATCACCTACCAACCAGTAAGAATTCCAGCTCTCACAGACCTGTTAGTTTTTCTTTAAGAAGCCCTCCTGTTCTCCACTCATTACCTTTATTAACTGCACCTGTTTGAACTCGTTACCTGTATAAAAGACACCTGTCCACACACTCAATCAAACAGACTCCAACCTCTCCACAATGGCCAAGACCAGAGAGCTGTGTAAGGACATCAGGGATAAAATTGTAGACCTGCACAAGGCTGGGATGGGCTACAGGACAATAGGCAAGCAGCTTGGTGAGAAGGCAACAACTGTTGGCGCAATTATTAGAAAATGGAAGAAGTTCAAGATGACGGTCAATCACCCTCGGTCTGGGGCTCCATGCAAGATCTCACCTCGTGGGGCATCAATGATCATGAGGAAGGTGAGGGATCAGCCCAGAACTACACGGCAGGACCTGGTCAATGACCTGAAGAGAGCTGGGACCACAGTCTCAAAGAAAACCATTAGTAACACACTACGCCGTCATGGATTAAAATCCTGCAGCGCACGCAAGGTCCCCCTGCTCAAGCCAGCGCATGTCCAGGCCCGTCTGAAGTTTGCCAATGACCATCTGGATGATCCAGAGGAGGAATGGGAGAAGGTCATGTGGTCTGATGAGACAAAAATAGAGCTTTTTGGTCTAAACTCCACTCGCCGTGTTTGGAGGAAGAAGAAGGATGAGTACAACCCCAAGAACACCATCCCAACCGTGAAGCATGGAGGTGGAAACATCATTCTTTGGGGATGCTTTTCTGCAAAGGGGACAGGACGACTGCACCATATTGAGGGGAGGATGGATGGGGCCATGTATCACGAGATCTTGGCCAACAACCTCCTTCCCTCAGTAAGAGCATTGAAGATGGGTCGTGGCTGGGTCTTCCAGCATGACAACGACCCGAAACACACAGCCAGGGCAACTAAGGAGTGGCTCCGTAAGAAGCATCTCAAGGTCCTGGAGTGGCCTAGCCAGTCTCCAGACCTGAACCCAATAGAAAATCTTTGGAGGGAGCTGAAAGTCTGTATTGCCCAGCGACAGCCCTGAAACCTGAAGGATCTGGAGAAGGTCTGTATGGAGGAGTGGGCCAAAATCCCTGCTGCAGTGTGTGCAAACCTGGTCAAGACCTACAGGAAACATATGATCTCTGTAATTGCAAACAAAGGTTTCTGTACCAAATATTAAGTTCTGCTTTTCTGATGTATCAAATACTTATGTCATGCAATAAAATGCAAATTAATTACTTAAAAATCATACAATGTGATTTTCTGGATTTTTGTTTTAGATTCCGTCTCTCACAGTTGAAGTAAATAAATAAATATAAATAAATAATTGGTCATTTAGCAGACGCTCTTATCCAGAGCGACTTACAGGAGCATAGGGGGTTAAGTGCCTTGCTCAAGGGCACATCGACAGATTTTTCACCTAATCGGCTCGGGGATTAGAACCAGCGACCTTTCGGTTACTGGCACAACGCTCTTAACCACTAAGCTACCTGCCGCCATGATAAAAATTACAGACCTCTACATACTTTAAGTAGGAAAACCTGCAAAATCGGCAGTGTATCAAATACTTGGTTCTCCCCACTGTATATATATATATAAATAAAATCTTTCTCCAACATACTTTCCTAACATTTACTTACAAACAGTCAAGTGTTTTGAACAGTGTGAGGGTTGGCGATAGCGCCAATGGGAGACGTTGCGTGTCTTACCTGTGCTTTCTTCAGCAGATCGGTGAAGACGGAGAACCAGTCTGGGGTGAGCCTCTCCAACTCCAAGGTAATGATGGCCAAGGCTAGTGTGGAGCCCTTGAACTGCAATAGCTGGTGGCAGGCCATACAGTGCTGCACCTGCCTGGTCCACAATGCCACCTGGAGGCAAGGCCTCTTCTGAGAATGAGCACCCACAGATGAAAGGTGGGGATGGCCAGAGATCAACAGGCCATGGAACTGCAATCATCACAACATACAGAAAAATGGAGACCATCATTATTACATATCCAATGTTTTATTCATTACCAATTCATATCGATCATGGACAACTTTCCACATCTTCTCTTTAACAGCCATTTCCATATTACATTGTCTTCTTAGTAACCCCCCCGCCGCCCCCTTTCCTTGCCTGGGGTGTGATGCCCTCTTTGCTGTGTGCAGTGCTCGTCTGTCTCCCTGTTTTAAGATTGTTATTGTAAAACCAACATGGGGGGCCTACATTTAATGGCCAAACCTTTTTGTTTGTTTCTCTTTGTCACAAAATAATGGTGAATGCATTTGCTTTTGTATGTCTCCGCTCTTTAGTAAATATTCAGCCATATTGTTTGAGCAAAGAAAAAAAACATTTGAATTTCAGGTTATCGTTTAACATATCCAGTGGAAATGTTGAAAAATAACTTATTTGAATCCACAGCTCAAATCATACAAATGTGTTATGGTGGAAAGTATGTGACAATATTCCTATAGTACCCATTGTTGTTTGAAAGACAATGGAGATATGACCACTATTTCGGTTGTTGAATACAAAATAAATGTTCAGGGAAATGTAATTGTTGGAAAGTATTTATTTGAAAAGTATTAGAGAATTTATTTTTATTTAACTAGATTTTTTTAATGTATCATGTTTCTTTTTTAAATTCTACAATACTTGTATTTTTGTAATAAACCGATTGTGACATAGGACAATATGGAATAGTTCTCATGGATTACACTACTATAATCTACACACAACTAACTGGTGAGACATTCATCAATCTCTGAAATGTTTTAGTATTCTGAACAATCTTATGTTATAATTTGAGGAAATTCTCACATTGGCTCTGGTGTGAAACAATGAAACCGCCCTAAACGTTTTAATTCAAACTAGACTAGAGGATGAAATGTGTCTGGTAGTGCTTAGTGTTTGATGATTATTTGACTTCCAGTTTGTGGTGTGTAGTAAAAAGTATGGATCTTTCCAAGATGTCAAACTCCAGTGTGCCATAAACAATCTGTACAGCATGGCATTTTTTTATGACACTAAATATGCATACATGACAGCATAGTAATATTCCAATTAATCTAGGCTATGCTTTCTGTTAAGGTTGTACTTAGAATTTGTCTAACCCATTTCTATCTTTTATTATTATTATTAGTCATTTAGCAGACGCTCTTATCCAGAGCGACATACAGGAGCAATTAGGGCTAAGTGCCATGCTCAAGGGCACATCGACAGATTTTTCACCTAGTCGGCTCGGGGATTAGAACCAGTGACCTTTCGGATACTGGCACAACGCTCTTAACCACTAAGCTACCTGCCACCCGTCTTAAAAGCCTCTCCCCTTGTTAACTAACAGGGTTCTACTTTCTGCTTTACTGCTGGAGGTAATAGTCAGATACAGTGGGCTCCAAAATTACTGGCACCCCTGACTGGCAATGCACAAACAATACAATTATAGAGAAACTCTAAATACCAGCATGTGAGAAATACTGTACTTTATTAATGTTTCAATGGAACCAACCAAAATCATACAATGATTTAATACAAAATAAAATGTCACCAAAATCAAGGTTTCATAATTATTGGCACTCCTCATTGAGTACTTAGTGCAACCACCTCTGGCAAGGATAACAGCATGGAGTCTTTTCCTGTAATGTTTGACAAGGTTAAGGAACACATTTGGAGGGATTTTGGACCATTCCTCTTTGTAGATCCTTTCAAGATCCATCACATTCTTGGGTTTGCGCTTATCAACTGCCTCTTCAACTCAGCCCACAGATTTGATTGGATTGAGGTCCGGCGACTGAGATGGCCATGGCAGAACATTGATTTTGTTGTCACAGAACCATTTCTGTGTGGATCTTGAGGTATGTTTTGGGTCATTGTCTTGTTGGAAAGTCCACCTACGGCCAAGTCCCAGCCTTCTGGCAGAGAAAACCAGATTGTCAGCCAAAATTGCCTGATACTTGGTGGAATTCATTATGCCATCAATCTTAACCAGTGCCCCTGGACCTCTGGAATTAAAACAGCCCCAAATCATCACTGACCCACCATCATATTTCACCGTGGGTATGAGGTGCCTCTCCTTGTATGCATCTCTATTTCGACGGCAAACATGCCGATGCTGTAACTGACCAAAACTTTCAATTTTGGTCTCATCTGACCAGAGCACCTTCTTCCAGTCATTATTTAAATGACGTTTGGCAAACTCCAAGCGCTTGCGTCTGTGTCTTGGGGTCAGAAAGGGCTTTCTTCTGGCAACCCATCCAAAGAGCCTGTGGTTGTGGAAGTGGCGTCTGATGGTGATTTTTGAAACCTGGTGACCCCAAGACGCCACCAAGGCCTGCAATTCTTTCACAGTGATTCTTGGGGATTTTGTTGCTTCTCTCACCATCCTCCTCCCTATCCTGGGGGGCAAAATGCATTTGCGTCCTCTACCCATGAGGTTTTCAACTGTTCCATATCTTTTTAATTTTTTAAATAATTGCGTTGACAGTGCTCAGTGGTATATTCAATCATTTGTAGATCTTCTTGTAGCCATTACCAGATTTATGAAGGTCTACGACCATCTGTCTCTTTTGAACTGCCAGTTCTTTTGTTTTCTTCATGGTGTTGGATGACAAAGGGATATTGTATGCGTGTTACCTCATTTTTATACCCTAGTGAAACAGGAAGTGATGTAATGGCTCAATATAGTTCCTTAAAACGTAGATACAGTGGGGAAAAAAGTATTTAGTCAGCCACCAATTGTGCAAGTTCTCCCACTTAAAAAGATGAGAGAGGCCTGTAATTTTCATCATAGGTACACGTCAACTATGACAGACAAACTGAGATGTTTTTTTTCCAGAAAATCACATTGTAGGATTTTTAATGAATTTATTTGCAAATGATGGTGGAAAATAAGTATTTGGTCACCTACAAACAAGCAAGATTTCTGGCTCTCACAGACCTGTAACTTCTTCTTTAAGAGGCTCCTATGTCCTCCACTCATTACCTGTATTAATGGCACCTGTTTGAACTTGTTATCAGTATAAAATACACCTGTCCACAACCTCAAACAGTCACACTCCAAACTCCACTATGGCCAAGACCAAAGAGCTGTCAAAGGACACCAGAAACAAAATTGTAGACCTGCACCAGGCTGGGAAGACTGAATCTGCAATAGGTAAGCAGCTTGGTTTGAAGAAATCAACTGTGGGAGCAATTATTAGGAAATGGAAGACATACAAGACCACTGATAATCTCCCTCGATCTGGGGCTCCACGCAAGATCTCACCCCGTGGGGTCAAAATGATCACAAGAACGGTGAGCAAAAATCCCAGAACCACACGGGGGGACCTAGTGAATGACCTGCAGAGAGCTGGGACCAAAGTAACAAAGCCTACCATCAGTAACACAATACGCCGCCAGGGACTCAAATCCTGCAGTGCCAGACGTGTCCCCCTGCGTAAGCCAGTACATGTCCAGGCCCGTCTGAAGTTTGCTAGAGTGCATTTGGATGATCCAGAAGAGGATTGGGAGAATGTCATATGGTCAGATGAAACCAAAATAGAACTTTTTGGTAAAAACGTGTCGTGTTTGGAGGACAAAGAATGCTGAGTTGCATCCAAAGAACACCATACCTACTGTGAAGCATGGGGGTGGAAACATCATGCTTTGGAGCTGTTTTTCTGCAAAGGGACCAGGACGACTGATCCGTGTAAAGGAAAGAATGAATGGGGCCATGTATCGTGAGATTTTGAGTGAAAACCTCCATCAGCAAGGGCATTGAAGATGAAACGTGGCTGGGTCTTTCAGCATGACAATGATCCCAAACACACCGCCCGGGCAACGAAGGAGTGGCTTCGTAAGAAGCATTTCAAGGTCCTGGAGTGGCCTAGCCAGTCTGCAGATCTCAACCCCATAGAAAATCTTTGGAGGGAGTTGAAAGTCTGTGTTGCCCAGCGACAGCCCCAAAACATCACTGCTCTAGAGGAGATCTGCATGGAGGAATGGGCCAAAATACCAGCAACAGTGTGTGAAAACCTTGTGAAGACTTACAGAAAACGTTTGACCTGTGTCATTGACCAAATACTTATTTTCCACCATAATTTGCAAATAAATTCATAAAAAAATCATACAATGTGATTTTCTGGATTTTTTTTCTTAATTTTGTCTGTCATAGTTGACGTGTACCTATGATGAAAATTACAGGCCTCTCATCTTTTTAAGTGGGAGAACTTGCACAATTGGTGGCTGACTAAATACTTTTTTCCCCCACTGTAAACTGAAATAAGTGGAATTTAATTCCTGGTTTAATTTTGGTAGATGTTATTTACAATAATCTTTAAGGGTGCCATTAATTGTGAAACCTTGATTTGGAGGACATTGATTTTTTATTAAATCAATAAATTATTTTGGTGGGTTCCATTGGAACATTAATATAGTACAGTATTTCTCACATGTTGGTATTTTCAGATTATCTCTATAATTATATTGTATTATTGTATTATTATAAAGTATTGTTTGTGCATTGCCAGACAGGGTGCCAGTAATTTTGGAGCCCACTGTAGGTGCCTTGGCCTGATCTATGATCTACATCGCATTTAATCCCTTTGTTTTAGATGACCGCTTGTCAATGGTGTCAGGTGTGGACAGAGACATATCACAGGTGGACACAAGTCAATGCACAATTTTTAGGACCAATTCTCTATTGGGGAGAAGTTAACAATGGCCATCTTTGACAAGATGAAGTGTGTGTTGCCTTGTGCTTTTGTACTGCTGTGTTTGAGCCTGTCACGGCAGTGAGGACGTGTTAACTGCTACTTACGATGTGAATGAAGTCGATTGGTGTTGCGGTGTACAGGTCCCAGTTCAACTTATCTAGTATGATCCTCTCCATGCGAAGAATCTCGGCTGTTGAAAAGTTGCATCCACTCTGCACAACAAGGCCCTTGACTGATCCAATCACCTGTTTCAACAGACATCAGCCAGCAAGGGAGCTAATAAACGTATTGTATTAAACTAGCGTTGTGTTGTATTTTGATTATAAGAAAGAATACACTTGTTCTATGTTCAATTATGATTTGATGTTAAACTTCCAAGAGATAAAAATCCCACCTCATCCTCATTGATTTTTGCTGAGAGAATCAGAGAGGTGAAGGCGATACACTTCAGGTATTTGGGCGGGGCCTGAAACAGAAGACAGAAGGTGATTTAGCACCTCTATAGTTTAGCAGAATGTAGGCTGTGAACTATTGTCAAGAACAGAAGATTTCCATACCTTCACTGTTGCTAGAAGTCGATTCAGAACACAGACTCCAAGAGCAACTGTTTCTTGACAGAAGTTGAACAGTCTGCACATTTCACCCAGCCACAGTATCACATCTTGCAGTTGGAATGGGGTAATGTCAGTACCCTTTGTGCAGTGGAAAGAATCAAGAGGTCAGAACCTTTGCAGGGGTGTGTGGTGGATGGGTCAGACGTTAGGCTCAGTCAAGATGGTAGCCTATATACCTGAATGCAGCTGTTCTTGAAGACTGGCACTTTCCAGAGGCGCATCTCCCTGCCCAGTGCATTCTCCAATAACGCCACCAACCGTTGGTTCTCTGCAGCTCCTGGGTTCTTCATTGCGATCTTGGTGCTGGCCAGGGTTCTCCACCACCTGAGAAGGACACACCGTGTAGTGTTACAGGCCATGCCATTTACAGTGGGAGAATGAAATGCATCACATAGCAGCTAAACACAACTTCATAGGTTACATTGAAAGTCAAAGTCAGATACGTTGTATTGCAAAGGGTTAATCTAATGTCACTTTCCCCAGGCTAGAAATGTCTAATTTGGATAGAGTGAATACATAATTCTAAACAACTGATTTCTGAGCAGAATGTGTCAACCTAATCAGCCTGGTAGTCTCATAGACTACACTTAATATAGACACTCATTAGTGTGATATGTTAGGTTTGGAATGGTTACATAAGACTGAAGGTTACTTAAAGCTGCAAGATGTAACTTTTTGGGGGACCCCCCCCCTCCCAAAATTAACATAGAAATGTGATTTGTAGATCTGTCATTCTAATCGAAAGCAAGTCTAGGCGATAGATCTGTTCTATGTGTGCTATTTCTATGCTTCCCATTCTTAAGTTTCATTGTTGCATCCTTTACCCTCCTTATTGTACACCTGCTTCAAACTGCTGAAAAATCGATATTTTTGGTTATGGATTGGTAGGTGTGTAACTCGAATTTCTAGCAAGTCAAAGGTTGCGTGTTTGAATCTCATCACGGACAACTTTAGCAACTACTTAACATGTTAGGTAACCCTTCCCCTAACCACCTAGCTAATGTTAGCCACAACAAATTGGAATTCCTAAAATATCATACATATTGCCAATTCTTAACATATTGTACCAATTTCAATTCGTAAAATATACGATTTGTAATTCGTAACATATCATACGAAATGGATGACAGACGACATCCACAAATTAATACATACCATACGAAACGTAACATATCATACTAAATGGAGGGAAATATATTTACATTTACTATGTTAAGTCTAACCCTGAGTCAGGTTACAGCAATGGATTGTACATTAGCACCGAAGGGATTTTTCAACAGTGTACAAAAGCATACAGCGCTCCATTGATGGATTGACTAGGCAGGAAATCATGAAATAAGCGTCACATTTTTGATAACGCACGCCATTTTTAGCTTTTGTAGGTTGTGCGCTGTGTGCAACAATTTTGCACATTCAGAAGTTATTCACTTTTGCTTGTGCATAAAAACAGAAGACAAATATGGGCGGGATAGTGAACAGCTGCAGCTGAAGTCAATTGCTTTTGTTTTGCATCTCAGATGCTGCAGTATCTTTCTATCCTTTATTTATTCAATTAGTCTTCTTACCTTTCGAAATGCAGGTATGTTCTTCGACGACAGGCGCATTTATATGCAGGTTTTAATCGTCCATGTTTACCAAAGCAAGATTATTCAATCAAACAAGATGGAATTTGTCATTAACAATAGTACAGGATCTTCTCGCAATCTAGTACACAACAAAATAAAATAAACATACTTAAATTCATACAGCCTTAAACGGATGTATAAACACTAAAAACTATATAAAAACAAGAAAAAGAAAGAGAGAAGCAAAATCTAGCCCAGCAGCGACTGTTTTGAACGCCCCTGACTCCGCCTATCTTTTCGTCATGTCGGTAATAAAACATTGTGTTAGTGGGTCAAACATACGGGATCCGTTATACAAAATGGTCGAGGCTCCATCGAAAATGCCCCTACAACATGTACTGTAAAATACTATTAAATAATATTATTTGGGCTAAGCTACCTTTATCATATGCATGAAATGGATCATCTGATTCTGGGCATTGTGTTTCAAACAATTAAACCTTACCAGGTTGTTTTACTTCTGCAGCAGTCTCTGAGCCTGGGACAAAGGAGATGTAACATTGTGAGGCCCCCGGCCACTATAACAGTGGCCTACAGCTGTGGGTAGGCTAAGCTTGCCCGGTTGTTCTCTCTCAAGCACTTGGCCTTCTTTTCAGAACACAATTCTAGATTATTTTTTTGATGAACAAGAATACAACACAAAAACAACTGTAAGCATAGATGTTGTTAGGCTACTGCATAGAGGATGGAAAGAATATGACCATCTACAGACATTACATCAATCAGTTACCACAAAACAAGTAGGCCTAATACCGCTGTTGCAGAAATGCATAATTGCTATTGGTAAATGTTTAAGCTAGGACAGGTGGGAGGCGAGGGCGCTCCAGTACAGTAGGTGGCGTTAATGCACAATAACGTTGGACACCAGCCGCCAATAAATCCCACAGAAGAAGGGTCTGGGTAACTAGCCGTACACTATTAGACAGTGTCCTTTGTTCCTGTCTGTCGGGCACTGTTTTCTGCAGTTCTGTTAACGACGGCAGGGGGCAGGTGTTCAGCAGGCGGGAGCGAAGGACACTGTGCTAGCTTAGCCAGCTAGTCCGGTACACAGCAGGAGGGAGGCGGTGGTGTCACTGTGTGTTAGCTAACTAGCATGCTAGCTATTTTTGTTGTTGTTTTTTTATTAGTTTTTTGCAACAATAATATAACAATATTATACATCAATACAGGGACATTCCTGTATACACAATGAAAAAAACAACAGTGTCCCTAACTAGCAAGCTAGCTAGTTAGCTAACACACAGTGTCGCCCCAGCCTCCCGCCTGCTGTGCTAGCCTCCTTCGCCCCTTTCTGTCGGGCAGGGTTTTCTCCAGTACACAGCAGGTGGGAGGCGGGGGACACACCGTGTGCTAGCTAGCTAGCTAGCAAGCCAGCACATGGTGTCGCTAACTAGCAAGCTAGTTAGTTAGCTAAAACAAAGTGTCCCCCCATCCTCCCACTTGCTGTGCAAGCGGTAGGTGTTCATGCAGGAACCAATGGGTTGCTCGAGGCCAACTGGATGCTTGGGGGGGGTGTTCATGAAGCTCTTGACCCACTCCACTACAGCCCCGTTGATGTTAATGGGGGCGTGCTCGGCCCTCCGTTTCCTGTAGTCCACGATCAGCTCCTTTGCCTTGCTGATGTTGAGGGAGAGGTTGTTGTCCTGGCACCACACTGCCAGGTCTCTGACCTCCTCCATATAGGCTGTCTCATCATCGTCGGTGATCAGGCCTCCCACCATTGTGTCGTCGGCAAACTTAATGATGGTGTTGGAGTTGTGCACGGCCACGCAATCGTGGGTGAACAGGGAGTACAGGAGGGGACTATGCATGCACCCCTAAGGGTAGGCGACAACACATCCACCACGCTGACCTTCACCCCCTGGGGGTGTCCCGTCAGGAAGTCCAGGATCCAGTTGCAAAGGGAGGTGTTCAGTCCCAGGGTCTTTAGCTTTGTGATGAGCTTGGAGGGCACTATGGTGTTGACCGCTGAGCTGTAGTCAATGAACAGCATTCTTAAGTATTTGTTCCTTTTGTCCAGGTGGGAAAGGGCAGTATGGAGTGCAATAGAAATAGCAGAATCTGTGGATATGTTGGGGCAGTATGCGAATTGGAGTGGGTCCAGGGTGTCTGGGATGATGGTGTTGATGTGAGCCATAACCAACCTTTCAAAGCATTTCATGGCTACAGATGTGAGTGCTACAGGGCGATAGTCATTTATACAGGTTACCTTGGCATTCTTGGGCACAGGGACTATGGTGGTCTGCTGGAAACATGTAGGTATTACAGACTAGGTCAGGGAGAGGTTGAACATTTCAGTGAAGACACTTGCCAGCTGGTCAGCGCATGCTCTGAGTACACGTCCTGGTAATCCGTTTGGCCCTGCGACCTTGTGAATGTTAACCTCTTTAAAGGTCTTACTGAAATCGGTTACGGAGAGTGAGATCACACAGTCGTCCAGAGCAGCTGGTGCTCTCATGCATGGTTCAGTGTTGCTAGCCTCGAAGCGAGCATAGAAGGTATGATGCTGCCACCACCATGCTTCACAGTGGGGATGGTGTTCTTGGGGTGATGAGAGGTGTTGGGTTTGCGCCAGACATAGCATTTTCCTTGATGGCCAAAAACCTCAATTTTAGACTCATCTGACCAGAGTACCTTCTTTCATATGTTTGGGGAGTCTCCCACATGGCTTTTGGCGAACACCAAACGTGTTTGCTTATTTTTTTCTTTAAGCAATGGCTTTTTTCTGGCCACTCTTCCGTAAAGCCCAGCTCTGTGGAGTGTATGGCTTAAAGTGGTCCTATGGACAAATACTCCAATCTCCGCTGTGGAGCTTTGCAGCTCCTTCAGGGTTATCTTTGGTCTCTTTGTTGCCTCTCTGATTAATGACCTCCTTGCCTGGTCCGTGAGTTTTGGTGGGCGGCCCTCTCTTGGCAGGTTTGTTGTGGTGCCATATTCTTTCCATTTTTTTATAATGGATTTAATGGTGCTCTGTGGGATGTTCAAAGTTTCTGATATTTTTTTATAACCCAACCCTGATCTGTACTTCTCCACAACTTTGTCCCTGACCTGTTTGGAGAGCTCCTTGGTCTTCATGGTGTCACTTGCTTGGTGGTGCCTCTTGCTTAGTGGTGTTGCAGACACTGGGGCCATTCAGAACAGGTGTATATATACTGAGATCATGTGACAGATCATGTGACACTTAGATTGCACACAGGTGGACTTTATTTAACTAATTATGTGACTTCTGAAGGTAATTGGTTGCACCAGATCTCAGGGCTTCATAGCAAAGGGGGTGAATACATATGCACGCACCAATTTCCGTAATTTATTTTGTAGAATTGTTTGAAACAAGTTATTTTTTTCATTTCACTTCACCAATTTGTACTATTTTGTGTATGTCAATTACATGGAATCCAAATTAAAATCCATTTAAATTACAGGTTGTAATGCAACAAAATAGGAAAAACACCAAGGGGGATGAATACTTTTGCAAGGCACTGTTTGTACAGTACCAGTCAAAAGTTTGGACACAACTACTCATTCAAAGGTTTTTCTTTATTTTTACTATTTTTTACATTGTAGAATAATAGGGAAGACATCAAAACTATGAAATAACACATATGGAATCATGTAGTAACTAAAAATGTGTTAAACAAATCAAAATATATTTGAGATTTGAGATTCTTCAAAGTAGCCACCCTTTGCTTTGATAACAGCTTTGCACACTCTTGGCCTTCTCTCAACCAGCTTCATGAGGTAGTCACTTGGAATGGATTTCAATTAACAGGTGTGCCTTTTTAAAAGTTAATTTGTGTAATTTCTTTGCTTCTTACTGCATTTGAGCCAATCAGTTGTGTTGTGACAAGGTAGGGGTGGTATACAGAAGATAGCCCTATTTGGTAAAATACCATATTATGGCAAGAACAGCTGAAATAAGCAGAGAAACGACAGTCCATCATTACTTTAAGACATGAAGGTCAGTCAATCCAGAACATTTCAAGAACTTTGAATGTTTCTTCAAGTGCAGTCACAAAAACCATTAAGCGCTATGATGAAACTGGCTCCAATGAGGACCGCCACAGGAAAGGAATACCCAGAGTTACCTCTGCTGCAGAGGATAAGTTCATTAGAGTTAACAGCCTCATAAATTGCAGCCCAAATAAATGCTTTACAGAGTTCAAGTAATAGACACATCTCAACATCAACTGTTCAGAGGAGACTGTGTGAATCAGGCCTTCATGGTCAAATTGCTGCAAAGAAACCACTACTAAAGGACACCAATAAGAAGAAGAGACTTGTTAGGGCCAAGAAACACGAGCATATTTACATTTACATTTACGTCATTTAGCAGACGCTCTTAGTAGAAGGATTACTTTATCCTATCCCAGGTATTCCTTAAAGAGGTGGGGTTTCAAATGTCTCCGGAAGGTGGTGAGTGACTCCGCTGTCCTGGCGTCGTGAGGGAGCTTGTTCCACCATTGGGGTGCCAGAGCAGCGAACAGTTTTGACTGGGCTGAGCGGGAACTATGCTTCCGCAGAGGAAGGGGAGCCAGCAGGCCAGAGGTGGATGAACGCAATGCCCTCGTTTGGGTGTAGGGACTGATCAGAGCCTGAAGGTACAGAGGTGCCGTTCCCCTCACAGCTCCATAGGCAAGCACCATGGTCTTGTAACAGATGCGAGCTTCAACTGGAAGCCAGTGGAGTGTGCGGAGGAGCGGGGTGACGTGAGAGAACTTGGGAAGGTTGAGCACCAGACGGGCTGCGGCATTCTGGATGAGTTGTAGGGGTTTAATGGCACAGGCAGGGAGCCCAGCCAACAGCGAGTTGCAGTAATCCAGACGGGAGATGACAAGTGCCTGGATTAGGACCTGTGCCGCTTCCTGTGTAAGGCAGGGTCGTACTCTCCGAATGTTGTAGAGCATGAACCTGCAGGATCGGGTCACCGCCTTGATGTTAGCGGAGAACGACAGGGTGTTGTCCAGGGTCACGCCAAGGCTCTTCGCACTCTGGGAGGAGGACACAACGGAGTTGTCAACCGTGATGGCGAGATCATGGAACGGGCAGTCCTTCCCCGGGAGGAAGAGCAGCTCCGTCTTGCCAAGGTTCAGCTTGAGGTGGTGATCCGTCATCCATACTGATATGTCTGCCAGACATGCAGAGATGCGATTCGCCACCTGGTTATCAGAAGGGGGAAAGGAGAAGATTAGTTGTGTATCGTCAGCGTAGCAATGATAGGAG